AAGACCGTCTTAAGTAATGTTATGAGATGCTAATACGGCTCTGTGATTGGTTCATAACATCTTAAAATTGTACTTAAGTCGGTCTTAGGCTGGTTCTACATTGGTCGTATCGTAGCATTATTCGTAAAAAAATGGATCAATCACAATCAATTATTCTTCTGAAATTCGACTGTAATTGCATGATGTAATAAACAAGGTGTGTTTCTATCCAGGTCTATTTTTCGTGACGATCTGCGCAGGTCTCAACTTTCGGCCATATTTGATTTATATGTGTATGAGTAGTGTGTATATGTAGAGCGGAGAATGTGTGACGAGACTAACGAGGTTAGATTCCCGGGTGTTTACATTAGTTTCTCAGTTTGCGATTTAGTGTTTATAAGTGAAATTTTAAACAAATTTAGTGACAATGCCGCTGTGTGCCATGAAAGGGTGCACAAACCGTTCTGGAAAAGGGAACTACCGATTTTTTTCTTTTCCAAAAAAAAGGGAGCTCCGTGAAAAGTGGATAATGGCGTGTGGAAGAAGAATAGGGGAAATTAAGGAGAAAAATGGTATGTACATGTTAATACAATTTACTTATAAGATCATTTTATTGTTCTTAAGGTGGCTCATCCGTGTAGGGCTGGAAATTCATGTGTTTATATTTTTATATTTTTCGACATAAATTTACTTGAAATACATCTCAAACATAAGTAAAATTACTATCAGCAAAATTAAAAAAATTTTAAGTACTCAAACATTAATTTAATAACAATAATATCGAGGCACTTTTTTATGATTTGTATAGTTGATCACTTTGGCGTTCAACAGCTCCTCAGAATTGTCGATAATGTCATGTTTTTAATGCACGTTTCGATTAATAATTAATAATTAATTAATTACGGAATTTATTGATGCAGCTCGTGTGTGCTCAGCTCATTTTAATGAGTCATGCTACAAGGGCTGCGTTTCGCTATTCACTCGCAGTACTGGCAGCACTGTAAATCCGTTCCAATATACGCGGCAGTAAGCTGTCAAAGCGTTTTTGTGTTCATATGACGTCATAGATTTTGTCGTCACTTCCTACTTTCATTACTGTGGCTCGCGAGGTGAGGCATTCGCAGTAAGAACATGGCGGCTATGGCGGCACCTTTGAAAAAATTGGTCCTTACCTATGTGAACCTTGCACCCGACTTTCGAAAAATTAATTTTTTTACGGAAAACGTTAGCATTTGGTTTGTAGTTGTTTGTAGTAACAAAAATTTTGTTTGTAGTTTAATACATTAAAAATTATAAACATTTAAAAAATTACTCGCACCCCACTTTGAGATAACTGAAATCCGCTTGCGCCATCTTCTTCAAAATTGTTTGTAGTTGTTTGTAGTGCTTTTCTTTTGGTTTGTAGTTGCACTGTTCAAAAGTTTTTATATTTTTGCAATAAACAAAAAGAGTAACTTTGCCAATTTTGGAGATATCTCAAATCAGCTTGCGCCATCTTTTTCAGAATCATTTGTAGTGCTTTTCTTTTTGTTTATAGTTGCACCATTCAAAAATTATTATATTTTTGCAATAAACAAAAAGTGTAACTTTGCCAACTTTGAAGATATCTCAAATCCGCTTGCGCCATCTTCTTCGGAATCATTTGTAGTTGTTTGTAGTGCTCTTCTTTTTGTTTGTAGTTGCACTGTTAAAACTTATTATATTTTTGCAATAAACAAAAAGAGTAACTTTGCCAATTTTGGAGATATCTCAAATCCGCTTGCGCCATCTTTTTCAGAATCATTTGTAGATGTTTATAGTGCTTTTCTTTTTGTTTATAGGTGCACCATTCAAAAGTTATTATATTTTTGCAATAAACAAAAAGTGTAACTTTGCCAATTTTGGAGATATCTCAAATCCGCTTCTGCCATCTTTTTCAGAAACGTTTGTAGTTGTTTGTAGTGCTTTTCTTTTTGTTTATAGTTGCACTGTTCAAAAGTTATTATATTTTTGCAATAAACAAAAAAAGATAATTTTGAGAGACAATTTTGGAGATATTTTAAACAAAACGGAACGAAAACTATTACAAACAATTCTACATCGAGTCGCGTAATTAGTTTTAAAATATTTCCAAAATTGGCAAAGTTAGACTTCTGGTATATTGCAAAAATATTATAACTAGATATATATAGAACAGTGCAAATATAAACAAAAAAAAGAAAGCACTACAAACAACTACAGATGATTCTGAAGAAGATGGCGCAAGCAGATTTGAGATATCTCCAAAATTGGCAAAGTTACACTTTTTGTTTATTACAAAAATATAATAACTTTTGAATGGTGCAACTATAAACAAAAAGAAAAACACTACAAACAACTACAAATGATTCTGAAGAAAATGGCGCAAGCGGATTTGAGATATCTCCAAAATTAGTAAAGTTACTCTTTTTGTTTATTGCAAAAATATAATAACTTTTGAATGGTTCAACTATAAACAAAAAGAAAAGCACTACAAATGATTCTGAAAAAAATGGCGCAAGCGGATTTGAGATATCTCTAAAATTGGTAAAGTTACTCTTTTTGTTTATTGCAAAAATATAATAACTTTTGAATGGTGCAACTATAAACAAAAAGAAAAGCACTACAAACAACTACAAATAATTCTAAAGAAGATGGCGCAAACGGATTTGAGATATCTCAAAGTGGAGTGCGAGTAATTTTTTTAATTTTTATCATTTTTAATGTATTAAACTACAAACGAAATTTTTGTTACTACAAACAACTACAAACAAAATGCTAACGTTTTCTGTAAAAAAATTAATTTTTCGGAAGTCGGGTGCCAGGTTCACATAGGTTTGGTCCTTGTGGACCTGGAAGGCAACAACGAGAAATATACAGTAATTGTTAATTACGAAGATGCGGAAAAAGCCCAAAAAGATTACTACTACTACTACTAAATTAATATAATTAATATAATAATAAATAATTTCGATATTTTTATAAATCTGAAAACTGTTATTTATTTTATAGACATGACTTTTGCAACATTATTGTTTAAGTACAAGATTCTTTTTTATATATTTAGAATAGGTGCTCCTATATCGTGTCACGTCGTGTCTAAGATAGGTTATATTTCTTTCTTATACGGGTGCGTTTCGACATTCACTGGCAGTACCGGCAGTACTGTGTCGTCGTTCCGTTATTCCAGCCTGAAAGTAACAGCAGCAATATAGAAACGCTCCTGCAGTTCTACTCAATGACGTCATATCGTCAGTACTTACAGTGAATATCGAAACACAACCAAGAAGGTGTCCTTCGTAGACGAGTTAGCAGGAACACCAAGGAATTCTAGGCCCCTCAACCCAGATGCTGTACCCTTTGCATTTCCAGGTAATAATGGTAATATGTATTTTATTTAATTTAGATTTGGACTCAATAATTTTCATAAATAAATTATATCAACGAACACCTTTTTTCACGTTCATATAAGAATTCTAAATAATAAACATTATCTGTGAAAGTCTTTCTCTGTTTAGCTTCTATTAGAAGTAATTTTCCAATTAATATTTAATATTTAATAATTTCTCTTCACTTCTATTATTATGTTATTATTTTCTTATTATTACAATTATTTTTCAGACTTCCAGCAGATGCTTCATGAAGTCTGTGAATTGAGCCCCGTAAATGTTATTGCAACATCCGCAGAGACGTCCACACGTATCAATGCTCCTATTAGTAATTGTAAGTTTATTATTAGTTAATTCAACTGTGTGTTATATTGTATACACTGTATGCAATTAAGAAATATTTAGCTTTGGGTTGAAAATTAATATTTCAATAAAT